TTATTTAAAAAGAGGACTTCAATAGCCTCCCCCATGTCCTTTGATCTTTATTTTAAAGAGAACTTCAAGGCAGAAGCGGGATACTGAGCCTTTTTATTCCTCAAATCAGACCATTGACACTGTTAACAGCTGCAGGGTGGTCAATGAATTATGCCCCTCACCTTGAAACAAAACCGACTGTGGGGCAAACATGGAGAACTGAAAAGTGACCTGAAAAGGGAAGGAGAGAGGAAGATGCTTCCAGGAAGAATGAGGTTTGATGAGCAAACTGGAAGTCTGCACACGGAGAAAATACTTCAAGGGGTTTCTAAGAATGGTCTACTTAAGAAACTCACTATTAAATTCTGATATGTAGCTAGAATCCTACATAGCATAATTTCAAAGGACTGTCTGTGGCAGCATTTTACAGAACCCATGTCCAGGAACTGCTGCATTTTCAAATCTTTGGGAATGACAAGGAAGCAAGAGAAGAGCCACAGAGGGGAAAGCAGTCTCTCCAGACTGTATGTGACCAGAGAATGGCTCTCCACTCTGGAGATGAGCTTCACAGTTCTCAAGCCTTCTATTTACTGTGTATGAGTCACCACATGGGTCAGAAGAGTGGAGCTCTTCACTGGTTTTCACCTGGATTTGGGCATGGGATCAATGCCTCTAATGAATACAATTCAAGTAAGTTCACCAACATTATTTAGTTGTATTGATCTAAACAGGCACACACATACTTTACCAACCCCCACTGCCAGTTCTCATAACTTATTTAAGTACAGACAGACATACACATACATGTATACACACTCATATACCCCAAATCTCCTTTCCTGTTTAGCTTTGTTCACCCTTTGCCTATTTATAATTTAACCACTTATTAATTTACAGAGAAGTTCTCATTCCCATTCCTTTCCTTCCCCAAATCACCCTTAGTTGTCTGTCTTTTCACAGGCTGCAATGAAAGGTCCCTCTCGGAGACTCAAATGCATTGTGCACATATACAATAAGGTCTCTGGCTTCAGAAACGCAGATTAAAAGTGATGCTCTAGGAAAGCATCGGTACCAAAGAGTTAAAAGAACCGCTTTATTGCTTTTGTTGTCTGAAAAATGAATTTACACAGAGGAGTTTTTTTTTTTCACCAATTTTGCCAAATTTTTGAAGTGCTACTGCATTCAAAAGAATGAGGGAGCATTTGTTAGTTTCTTAGCATCCTTGGGCAAGCAGCTCTCCCACATCTCAAGGTGCCAGTCTCGGTTCTCCTCCTCTTCTCTTTTACTATAATGAAGGTTGTTGTTGGAATGTGTATTAGACCAGTGATTCCAGAAGCAGGCCTTTGGGGAAATACATGCCATGTTTGAAGAAACTATGGTAGGGAGGGAAGAGGAGCAGCTGGTATGATGTGATCTCATAGCAGGCTTCTATGTTGAACCACCCACTTTACCCCGTGATTCATATAAAAGCATGGTTTTAAATTATGTATGTACCAAACTTTAATTTTCATTTCACACTCAAAATTTCTGTACAAAAAGAGGCAATGCAGGCAAAAAAAATTACAATGACTTCAGCAAACAACATATGACAGCTTCAAAGCCCCTTCTAATATGCAACCATTCTTACAGGTGTACTGTGACAATGGACTTGGTTCTGAAGGTTGGGGCCAGTGAAGACAAAATCCCAAGGTTAGTTGTTAATTTCTAGAACAGTTGAGAGATGCCTACTATATAGGATTGAGTGAGAAGTCTGAATTCTACTGCACAACTGGATCCCTAGATTGGGTAGGTTTCATCTTGCTCTTGAAGAAGCATGAAATAATTTTGACTTAATTGTGATGATGTCTCAAAAACTTAGGCTTGCCATTCATGTTTGACGTAATTGTGATAACTAAGAATGTATGTTTATGTTGATGAAGAATACATTAACTGAATATTAAAATACACCCAAGACCTTCTTCATGGTCTTTAGCTAATATTCTGGCTCTACTGTGGCTCTAATATTCTGGCTCTATCACAAATAAAAATATCCATTTTCACAAAGCTTTTGCTATGAATGCCTAGGTGAACATGAGAGAAGTTACCATGCCAAAAGTAGCAACATGTCTGGGAAACGTCATTTTTATCTTCCTTCTTGCCTCAAATGAAATATCTGAGTCATATAAAACACTTTATTTTAAAACTATGAGACATCAATTATGAAGTATTATTAACATTGACATTGTCCCTAGTACTTTCCCCCAAACCACCCATGAGTGCTGAATACATCTGCATGCAGCACAAAAAAGGAAGGAAAACCAAATTGTTCAAGGATTTCCAAAGCCTACTGGACAGTCTGCTAAGAGAACTGGTCTCCCACAACAGTTCAGGAGCAGACTCGGGGCCCACTCCCTGTTAGTGATCACAGACACAGATCAGCCTGTCCCTTGGTGACCTGAGGCAACTATTCAGACCCTGGGCTTCTGAAAATTCAAGTCCCATTGAGTCTCATCTTGTAGACAATGGACTGGCTAGACTGAAGCAGACTGACAGCACCCATATGCACATTTGGTCCCATTGAATACAAAGTCTAACTAAAAGTTACAAATGTCCTCAACTTGTGTGTGTGTGTGTGTGTGTGTGTGTGTGTGTGTGTGTGCATGTGTGTGTGATCTGACAGACAATCCTTAATGTTTTCTTATGTAGTCAGCTGAGAGGCAGCTATGGTGTAGATACGTGGCTTGGGTTCATGGCTCAGATCTGTGTAAGAGCCCAAGAGAAATTGGGCAGTCCTTTCTTCTTTGAAATCTTAATGTCCTCTTCTGAGGAAGGGGCAAATGGACACATGCTCATTAGTAGTGTGCATCTCTTCCCTTGGTATACTCTAAAGCTGATCACTGGAGAATGTCTCACCCCATGTGATTGTATTTTCTGGCTTCTTCTGGATCTTGGAATTCCTAGGTTTGACAAGGTCACAGAAGCCATGTACCATGATTCTCCTGCAGTGAGAACACCCACATCAGTCAAGTGACCGTACTTACTCTGCTGGTAAAGTACCAAGGGATAAGGCTTTCACCTCTCCATTGCCTACACTGACATATAGGCTGAGGAAGCAGTTCTACCATTTCTCTGTTGACTACACTGACATATAAACCAGGGAACTAGTTCTCCCATTTGCATTTCTTTGTTGAAACAAACCAAGTGTCCCCTTTCTTGGGGGACTCAATGGAATGTTGGATAGTCTGGAAGTATTGGTATTTCACAGCTCTTCTCTTGGAATGTTGCAAACCAAATAATACCACACCCCGATCATCCTAGACCTGACTCCTAGGATTATCATTCATCAGCTGTCTGGAAAATTCTCTCCTTCCAGTGGAGATGTGCAAGTAATAACACAGGTTAGCCTCAAGATTTCTCTAGAAGGGTCCATACACTCCAGGTATATATATTCATAGGCCACATGGTGAAAAGGGAAGAGTATAGATTCAGGTGGAAAACACCCAGGATGTAGTCCTATGTAGGAGTCATCTCGTGTGCCCACATTTTTCTATTAGAGGCCAGAATATGCTTCAAGATTCCACCCTAACTCAGCTCTGGCCTATAGGCAGAATGACTGCAGGCCTGGTGATATTAATAAGGATACTTACTGGAAATTATGCATGAAGGAAGGTTGGTGGAGTGGCTCCAACTAGCCTTCCAGGATTCTTAGCAACTACTTTAGAATTTTAAAAGCTTCATTTATTTTCTTTTATGTGTGTAAGTGTTTTTCCTGCATGTATAGAAGCGCACTATGTGCATGTATGGTACCCATAGAGGATATTAGATGCCTTGGAACCCGAGTAATGGATAGTTGTGAGCCACCATATAGGCACTGGAAATTGTGTCCAGATCCTCTGCAACAGCAACAAACACTCATAACCACTGAGCCATCTCTCCAGCCACAAGACTGCCTATTTATACACGAGGAAGGTGACACTAAAAATGAATCTGCCAAAGTCCTCAAACCAGTGGAGGCTGACACCAGACAACCAAAAAAAAAAAAAAAAAAGTTTTCCTCTCAAAATTCCTCCAGTTTTCTGGTAAATAACAAAGTGCTTTAGTTCTCAGTTCTGACATGAACAGTCCATTTTAATAGAGAAGAGGGGCTCCCTTATCAAGAGGGGAGGTGTGCCTAGAACTCTACAGACTCCTGGAAAGTGAGTGGTCTTATTTACAACCAGATTTCCATTTTTCGGTCCCCTCGGGCAGAGGGTTGGCACAGACATGACTGTCCTTATGCCAACTCTCTCTCAAATACTCTTTAAGATAGCTACTTTTCCTCAATTCCCCCCTGTAAGAACCCCTCTATCTATCCCATTGCCTCCTCATTAGTGAATTAAAACACAGGCAATTTTCCTCTCGCAAAAACCAAAAGGGAATGAAAGGGACACAGATTGAGACAGAAGGAGAATATCTGGATTAATAAAACACGTGCATACAGAAAATTTGCACGCGAGGTTTGCAGGTGGAAGGGGAGGGGCGTGCTGAACTGAGAGCACTTGTGCTGTACTCTATACATGCATGTTTCTTATCTTGGATTCTCTCTCTCTCTCTCTCTCTCTCTCTCTCTCTCTCTCTCTCTCGGCAACAGTTGTGTGCGTTTCTTGCATCTGAGCCAACACAGGAAATCAAGTACTTTTTGTTTCTATAAACTATACCCCCAGAGAGATAACATGTCTAGAATTAGAACAATACCACAAATTATTAAGAATTTCCGATTGTTACAGGTGTCATTGCAAGGCTCCAGCAGCCAGGATCGAAGCTTCCAAATTTGGCTCTCGGAGAAAGGATTCCTGTTTCAGACATCAAAGGTAAGGCTCTCAAGTCAATTTATGCTCTGCTGGGTTGAGTCAGTCAGGATACGAATTAAGGTCCATATATTTCAGTGACAAGAAGGAAGTGGTTACGTAAATACACAAGTATTAACATCAATCTGTATTAAATTATGTAAACATATACATCTTCTGAGGTCAGCACACAGATCCTCTTCTGAGAGCGGGGCTCTACTGAAGCATCGCCCGAATCTGTTTGGAAGTCGATTCATCATTCAAGTGCTTTGTAGTGAACCTGAATGGGGAAAGAGAGAGGGTGTCAGGGCTCATCCAAGTGAAATTTGTAAACAAAAACTGTAGGCTCATTTCTTTTGACAAGGAGTAAGTCATATTTTGCTGTTCATTCCATATATTCTTTGCAAGATTTTTAATAATTTATTTAACCTTTATTTTATGTGCATTGGCATCAGATATCCTGTAACTGGAGTTACAGACAACTGTGAGCTGCCATGTTGGTGCTGGGAATTGAACTTTGGTTCATCTGGAAGGGTAGCTAGGGCTCCTAACCACTGAGTCATCTCTCCAGCCCTGAAAGTTTATTTTTGATTTGTCTTTGACATTGATTTGCTCCATATCCCAGGTCAGCATTGCGCTCACTCTGTAATCCAGGTTGGCCTCATACTCGTGGCAATCCTCCTGTCTCAGCCTCCCTATTGCTAAGATTATAGGCATACCCCACAATGCTAAGTTATGATATTTCCTTTTTCTTGTGTGATGAGTATTAAACTAAGTTTTTTTTAAACCTCATCAAATGATTACCAAAAGGAGACATAACTGATTTCATTTTCAAGAAGATAAATTTCACAGCACAATTGTTCAGCATCTTGTCCATTGAGGCTAACCCTGCTGAGTTACGGACTTCAAATTAAGGAATTCTAAAATTTAAATGTTGATGACTGTCTACTGTAGGGGCTTGCTTATCCCCATTGCTACCACCAGGGAGCACAAATGCTGTAATATGAAGCTTCTCCTGACTCAGTCTTATGTGTAAAAGATTGACCTGTAACAAAACTTTGGCCACACCTTAGGCACTCTGGGTCACAAACAACTTTGCAAATGTGGTACCTGACTCAATTTCACAGGTGAGAAAGCTGGGGGCCAAAAAGTTTCAGTGGCCCACTCTCAATCACACAGAAGATGGTTTTGACTCCTGAACAATCTGTGACTTTTGACTTGAGTCTAAGTCTGGCTGCCTTGAAAGGCTCCACTCTTTCCACTTGTATTTCTCTCCAGGAAAACACAAATTCCCACACTGGGATGGCACTCCTGCCTTCCCACAACGTCCTGATCTTCAACAGGTATTGGCAGCTAGAATGAAGCTGGAAAGTTCCAGAAATTCAGAGGGTGAAGGCGTCTTAATGAATATAGAAAGCCAGCCTGGTGTGCTTATAGTCTGCCTTGAGGGAAACCCAGGATTCAGGAGGCTCTTATGGTAATGACTCATTTATTTTCTAAAGCTGATGAGTGGGCAACTCAGAAAAACAGCAACCTTAGTGTCTTGAGACTGCTGGCTTCTTGATCTTCTAAAGGAGAAGGATAAAGCAGTCTTGGGTGGATGGATTGCAATGGTTGCACTCAACAATGTGACTGGAGGTAGAACACGGCATGCAGAAATGAGTGCTGCCTCATTTCTTTTAGATTCACTCATGCTTACTGCATGCATTCCATTGCAAGGGACTGGAGGAAATAAAAGGCTTAGATAGCAAGGTCCATAAGTCTTCCCAATTGAAATTCTGTATTGGGATGGTTTGTGTGGTTCAGCAAATTTCTTTGGATGCAGCATAACTAAAATAACAATCTCTTCCCTGCAGTGGACCAAGCAAATGTATCCTTGGGAAAAGAGGAGATGCCTAAAGAGTGGGAACACAATGCAGCTGACTAAATATTCAGGCATCCAGCAGTGAATAACAGATCCTCAGAGTTAGGGCAGCTGCATGTGGGAGCCACTTGGGGGAGTTTGGACCAAGCAAACAAAAATAAACAAGCAAGCAAACACAAGAGGGATGCTTGAACTTCCAGGCCAGTGATTTGATTTACTTGGGTTGAAACCTCAGGTCTGAAAACTCCCCTCATCTTCCTACCATGCAGCCCTTGGTGAGGATAGACATGAACACTGGAGGCTTTCCTTCTCTGGAGATTCCACTATTCACAGAGCATCATAAGCAAGAGTCAGGCCCAAGATCCATGGGGTCACCCAGACCCAGGTATAGGTCCTAACTTGGCTCTTTACTGTGTAACATGTTAAATTTATTTGACCTCACATGCCTTTAATCCCAGCACGCAGGAGGCAGACACAGGTGAATCTCTGAGTTCAAGGCTAGCCAAGACCACTAAGCAAGTTCCAACACAGCCAGGACTACACAGATAAACCCTGTCTCAAAAACCCAAAACTTAACTTACCTCAATGTCCCCCATCTGTAAAAAGTGAATGGGTAAACACTGTGCTGCCCTCCCAGCATTGCTAGGAAGATGAATGATGTGACAAGGCAAGGTCTAAGACCAGTGCTCAGGCTTTTAGCCCCTAACAGCATCCAAATTTGCAATGGTCAGAAAGGGAAGCTGTGCTGTCAACCCACCCCAGAGACAGGCTTACCTGAGAGCATTCAGCAGCCCTTCCACACTGTCCGGGGCCTGTTCCTTCAACACCTTTATACAACCTTTCATCTGGAAGAAGAAAGTACAGCATTTTGTTAATATTCTAGCAACCCTGTCCATAGTGGCATCTGTCCACACTACCAACTCTCTGTAGCAGCAGCACAGGGAGATCAGGAATAAACTTCTCTACCTTTCATGATGGTGCATTGTTCCATGTACCATCAAGAGTTCTGTACAACTGCACACTTTCCACTCTACTGATTTTTATCCTATGCCACAGCTGTCCATTTGACTTGCTTTCGGATCAACATCTTGTCTTCTACTCTGGAGCCCAGACCAGGAACAGGGTAGCTGACAAAAAATCCCTAGAGATCTGCCCATGTCCATTCCCCCAAGGCTAGGAATACAAGCACACCAATCACATATGGCATTCTTTTTAAAAAATGGCTTCTGAAGATGAACTTATTCCTAGTGCTTTCAAAGTAAACACTATGGAGACTGAGATATCATCGTGGCCCAGGAAGGCTCTTTTCATCCCACTATCCATACCATAGACAGTCACAACCACTTATTTGTGACCACAATATAACTTTTTATTTATTAGGTAACTCTGGATAGACTAGCCCCTCCTCAGATCAATAATTTGTCTCCCTCACTAGGCCAGTGACTCCTGGTAGTGCATGTCTGTGTCTTAATCATCTCTGAAAAGACTGGCAAAGGGCAATTGTAAAAGAATGTCAAATGCCTAGTTTTGTATTTGCATGAACTTACATAAGTTCCTAAGTTTTCTGAGGCCTTGGAATTAAAGTAATCTAATTCTGTCACGAAAATGAAAATTTACATAGATCATGTTATTTTATTCATGTCCTTCAGTGTTTTACTTATCCTTTGGAAAATGAAAATCTTTCTATAAAAAGTCAATCACTTCTTTTAATCTTAGACATTCATGTGGTGTGGGTATCTGACAAGTTTCACTATACTAATGGCTACTTGCAGAGTGGTAACTTCTCAACATTTCTTGTGGTCATAGTTTCAACATGCTAAATTTTATGGTAGCAGCTTGACAGTCCCTGTCAATTGCTGAAGGTAGCCAAGACCCAAGACTAAGAAGCATTTGGAGGTCATACAAGAATGAATGTCCTGGTCAAATCTATCAAAGATACAGGTTTGGAGAGAGGCTACAAGTATGCCAGTTATGTGCCACTCCAGGTTTGTGATGGCATTAGGCCCATAGATGCAGAGAATTTTGTACTCCCTTCCCATTAGAGATGGGGTCTAGTGGGTGGAGAGAGACAGGCAGCTCAAGATCACATCACAGTATGGTAAGTGTTCATGTGATGATTTCCCAAGGGGCAGTGAGAGCATAGATGCAGAAGGGATGGATGTGCAGTGGGTACTCTTGAGGAGTTTCCAGTTCTATTTCAGGATGATTAAAACCGTGGGTGTGAAGAACAAGAAACCATCAGAAATGCATTCAGGGCCAGAGCTACTGTGGGTTTAACTACATAGTCAGAACTTGGAGGCTTTTCGTTGTAGAAAATTCCCTTGGCAGGTGTTAAGCATCATATAAATACAGTAAGTATAGAAAAGGACCAGAAGAAGGCAAAGACAGAAAGAGGATGAGTGAAAAATCTTAGGATATGGGTGGGGGTAGCAGTGAGCTGAAACACAGAGGATGATGGAAGCTCGATCTCTGATAACCTATGAAGATGAGGAAGAGGGATGCAAACAATTCCTAGGATCTGAAGGATGACAGTTCTGGGTTTCTTCAAGGTCAGATACTGGATGAGAGGATGGGATGATATCTAAAATAGGGTTCACGGGGGAAGGAGAACCTTTGGTTGAGGACTGGCCATGTTTCATGTATCCATTAACAAGACAGGTGAAGACTTGGCTGGGGACAGGGGTTAAGGTTTGATTCTTTATGGAAGTCACTTGAGAATACCAGTTCGTCCCCATACATCTTTCCTGGCACCAAGATTGCCCCCTTGTCCCTAAAGTTTCATCTTCCCTGTGTCTTGGTGATTTTGCTCTGACTCTTCCCTCTATTCATCCGACACAATCCTTGACAGACTAGCATCCCAGCATTCCAGCTATGTGTGGGAGGCTGGATGTCTCCTCCTAACCACATGAGAAAGAGTGGACTGCATGCTAGGAGGAAATTTGCCATGCATCTCCAGGTGGAGAGGGATGGAGGCCAGAGGAAGAGAAGCAAGCAAGTCTAGTTGATGGCATTCATGGGCCTTTATGTGGACAGCACACTGTGTGAGCATTATTTAAATGGACAGTGCATTGCATGAGCATTCTTACATCAATCTTGGATGTCTTGCAGAAGGCTCCCACGGGGTGCACGTGGTCATACAGGATGATGACACCCACCATCACCCTCATGCAGAACATGAGTGTCTCCTCACTTGTGAACCTGCTCCTGTACTCCCTGAAAGAGAAGACACAGCCATGGCATCACTTCCTTATCCAAACACCTGCATTCTGAGATCCACAACTAGCAGCTCCTCTACACACACCCCTACATCCCTCATCCCCTACCCTCAGAGAACTCATCCAGGACCTGCAACAACCAAGTTAATACGCTCTTGAATAGACCCAAGATGATCATTTTCCTTGAGTCTACGCAACTAGCAATTCAATGTAAAACTACAGTAAATGAAAGGGTGGTAAATTCCCCTTTCTGCTTCCCTTTAGCAGCTAGCTCACGGTGTCCATCAATCCCTGCCCATCAATCTTGAATATTTTATAGCCAGCCCCTCTGGCTGTCCGAGATTATAGAGAATAATGGCTTCATTACGGAGAAAAAGAATCAGGCTCATTTCAACACAGCGGCTCTCTTGTCTCCAGCCGGAGTCAGCTCCTTTGTTAACATACAGGCTGGGGATGAGCTTGGATTGGCAGATATGGCAAAGAAATTATGTACCTGGGAGTTATTTGTGGAGGTTAAATTTTGCTCACTTACCTTGATAGGGGCCCTGATGATTGCAATAATTTAGGCCAATGATAGAGACGTTTTTAGCACCAATTTCATTACGAGTTGGCCCCACAATGCAGACAATTACTATTTCTGTCTTGAAATAAATCTTAACTTTGATATGAAGGAAATATTTAAAATTAATGCCCTTTTATGGGGCAAGGGAGATGGCTCGCTGGGTAAAGATGGCTTGCTGCACGAGGGAGAGGAACTGAGTTTGGATCTCTAGTGCCCATATATATGCCAGGTGGTTGTGCGGGACAGTTTTATGTCAACTTGACAGAAGCTAGACTCACTGGAGAAGAGAAAGCCTCAATTGAGAAAAATGCCTCCATAAGATCTGGCTGTAGGCATGCCTTCAGGGTATTTTCTTAATTAGTGAGTGATGCTAATTAAGGGGCAAGCCATTGTGGGCTGGTGGTCCTGGGTTCTGTAAAAAAAATCAGGCTGAGCAAATCACGAGTAGCAAGCCAGTAAGCAACACCCTCTATGGCCTCTGAATCAGCTCCTGCTTTCAGGATCCTGCCCTGCTTGAGTTCCTGTCCTGACTTCCTTCAATGATGGACTATATGATTCGGCAGTGTAAGCCCAATAAACTCTTTCCTCCCCACTGGGCGTTGGTGGCACACACCTTTAATCCCAGCACTCGGGAGGCAGAGGCAGGTAGATCTCTGTGAGTTTGAGGCCAGCCTGGTCTACAGAGCAAGTGCCAGGATAGACTCCAAACTACACAGAGAAACCCTGTCTCGAAAAACCAAACAACAACAACAACAACAAATCAAACAAACAGAAAAAAAAAAACCTTTTAGTCACAGTGTTTCATCAACCCTAACACAGTGGCCCACATACAATCCCAGCTCTTGGGAGGCAGTTACAGGGCATGCCTGCAGCAAGCTGACTTCCCAGCCTAGTCTTATTAGCAAAATCTGGATTCAAGTGTCAGCAATCAAGGAAGATACCCAAAGTCAACCTCTGGCTTACACACACACACACACACACACACACTCACACAGGCATGGACATGCCCACAAATGTGTATGCATCTGCAAACACATGTGTCCCCTCATATGCATGTGAATATGAATACACACATACTTGAACACCACACACATACATACATGCAAGCATATAAAAGAATACAAAAATTATCATTTTATATTTGAAGACAGTCAGCTGCTATAAGGTGCCTGTAGTACTTTTGGACTCCCAAACACCCTATAGAGCAGATGGTATTGTAGAAACTTTACTGGAAACAGAATACAAGGAAGGTCCAAGAGGCCAGATAGTTCATTCGTAGTCACAGTTAGCAGTGCAGACTAAGTGCATCCCCAAGCTTCCCCTGTAACTGTGTCCTTCATCCTTAGTTAACCCAGCCATCCTTCAAATTGATATCCAGCAACTAGTTTAGGAACAAAGAAACGAAGGGGAAAGAGAGGTGTGTGTGTGTGTGGGGGGGGTACTTTTGCAGCAGTCTCAGCATTGCTACTCTTGGTTCTAAATCTCTAAAATCTCTACAGTATATTGATAATAATACCCAAACATCCTGCCCACCTCTCCATTTCTTTGCACGACTTATAGCAGTGATTCTCAACCTGTGGGTCACCACCCCTGTAGAGGTCACACAACCCTTTCACAGGGATTGCATATCAGATATCCTACATAGCAGATATTTACATCACAATTCAAAACTGTAGCAAAATTGAAGCTAGGAAGTAGCAATGAAAATAATTTTATGGTTGGGGATCACCACAACATGAGGAACTGTATCAAAGGGTACATTAGAAAGGTTAAGAACCATTTCCTTATGGCATCTGATAAGCTGTTACAACTTTCTGAAGTCAATCAACCCAGGAGGGAGGGCCTCAGCTACTTCAGTTGTGAAATGGACACAACATTGACACAGACCACCCTGAGTTCCTATTGAAACTGAAGCAAATACTGTACAGGGAAACTTGAATATAACATCAAAAAGAGGACACGCCACTATCAACACATCTGGACAGGTCCCAGCTGGTTGGAAGCTTAGCCATGCCCACACCTCTGGTTTCACTTACGGTGTCTCCAGCATGACCTTGCAGACGCTTGTCATTGTGCTGAGGCAGTCTGTGGTATTTTCTATGGGCAGGGTTTTATTCTAAGTGGAGAGACACAAACACATGTTAGCCCTCCTAGCAGCACAGTGAAGAAAGGGCACTCCGCACCACTCAACTAACTACACTTACTTCTGAGACAAAGTGCATTGTGGCATTGCTAAGAGTCTTCAGCATTGGTGTGGCTTCTGCATAGAAGAGGGACATTCGATTGGCCATCTCGTTATTCACTTCGTTCTCAATGTCTAGCTGATGAAAACAAGAGAAGAAACAGTTACAAAGAGAAAGTCATTGCCTCCACAACCACATTACAGACAAGGACTGTGCCTTCTCTCTGGGCCCTGCCAGATGCAGAAGTCAAGGCAGGCATGGAGAGATGGTGGCCCCAGCCAGGGACTCACATGCATGTTGTTGATGCGGTTGCGACTTATTGTTCTCCTGTAGTAACTAAAGTCATTCTGAATGGCTGGGTTCCTCATCTAAAATTTGGGAGAGAAGAAAGAAGGTCATTCCAGAAACAGGTGAAGGCCCAACATCAGGAGCCCAGACATGAGTGTTTGCAAATATGGCAGGACTTCTCTTTGGCATTCAAGAGCCGGAGCAAACATTAAAATTTAGATCCTATAATTCCAGTGTCCTGAAATATGTCCCACTCTTACTGTGGGCTGTATTTCTGGGAAAGCACATTTGCCCAGTGAGGAAAAGACACTTGTATGGGTTTTCTCTGCACTCACTTGACAGGTACATCATCCTCTTGGATTACTCTGACCACACAGAATGCAAATATAATATTCACCATGTTATAAACCTCCGTGGGAAAGGTATTCCATCTTACTCTCCCACCCCGACCCTACAGCCTGGGCAGAAGAGCCATAGAGCAGTGCTACCAGTTCAACTTCCACACCCTGTGTGGCCTGACCTTCAGCTCATCGAATCGAAGGGTAAAATGTAAGATTTCTGCAAATTCCTTTGCCAGGGCCTGCTCCCGCTCCAAGTGTTGGGTTGGTGTGTAGGGAGGACATGTCAGAGATTCCAGTAAACTCTGAAGAGCTTTTTCTGAAAGTCAAGAAGAGACAGAGATATATTCAGGGGGACCAGAGACATCCTTTAAAAGCACGGTGCTTAGTTCGAGTTGACATTCTCAGAGGCAACCTGCATGGCTAGTCCCTTTCGAGTGTTTCCTGAGCACAGTACACTTAGTAATACCACTTCTTGAGCCTTGTAGGAAATCACGAATACATGAATGGAGCTTGTGTGCTTGAAGGCTACTGATGATTCCAGGTGAGATGAGTGGGTGAGGAGAAAGCTCCAATCAGTAAAATGTCCACTGTGTAAACATAAGGACCTAATTCATAGCTATAGCACCCACAAAAAAAAAATAGCTATACTGGGTTACAGCAGGTAATCCTAACTTTGAAGATGGGCATGGGGACAGAGATGGACAAGTCAGGGCTCTCTGGGGCTGGGCAGTTTAGGCAGTCAGTGAACAACAGAAGAAGATGCTAATGTCAGTCTCTGGCTTCTTACAGAGTGTTTCTCTGTTTCTGTAGCCCCATGATATTTCTTGGCAAATCTACCACATTTACCTTAGTTATTATTCTTATCATAACCTCATCCCTCCCATTTGCCTTTTTCTAATCATTCTCCACTCTTTTTGCTTCCATCTATCTTTTAACAGCAAAGTCATTGAATCAGTCCTCTATGGCAGGAGTGGATAAACTGTGATCCATGAGCCAAATCTGACCCAATGCTTATTTTTATAAATAAAGTTTTACTTAAAAGGTAGATATGTTCATCACTTCCTGTTGGCTACTGTTGGTGTTGGCACTATAATGGTAAAATCTAGTTACTAAAAAGGCAGGACAGCTCACTCTTGTGAGCAAATTCTTTCTCTTGCTGCTGAGGTAAAACTCAGGTCCTTGGAATTTCATCTCACTACATCCAGATGCACACTAAGGAAACAGAGAATTCAATTTCTCTTCTGTCTGAGGCAACCTTTGTTTGTGAAATCAGTTTGTGCCACCCCTTTAGCTGGTCAAAATATCAAGTCCTTCTCAATAGCACAGTCATGGCTTCAATTTCGATTTTCCTCTTAAAATAATGGCACTCATTTTAGTGGCAAATTAAAGCAGAACTTACTGACTACCTTTTCCATTCTAAATATACTATATTAACAATGAAATTCCAAGCACTGGCAGTGACTACACCACAGTGCTGGTGGCATGGAACCAGTTTGTCAACCTCATTTGCCTCCACTCCAGCTTCTGCAGATATGCTGTTTCTGTGCAGCTTTATTTTTGTTTTTAAAGCTAAAGTAAGAATGCTAGCTTTATTTTCTTACATTTTGTGCTCAGCTAATTGTGTTGGGGGGTGCATGAGGAGACTGTGGCTTCAGATAAACTCTATCCTCCAACTTGATTTTTATTAAGAAATGAGATCAATAGATGGCAGTCTAGCCCAATTGTGTCAGAGAGGCTTCATCCAGCAACTGATGGGAACAAATGTAGAGAGAACTGAGATCAATAGGCTGTAGCCTAGCCTGATTGTCATCAGAGAGGCTTCATCAGCTCATGGGAGCTGATGCAGAGGCCCACAGCAGGCATTAGGCAGAGCTCAGGGATTCCCACGGGAAAGGGGGTGGGAAGATTGTGGGAGCCAGAGGGGTAGAGAACACCATAAAAACACAGCCCACAAAAATCAACTAAGGGTTCATGGGAGCTCACAGAGACTGAAGCAACAATCATGGAGCCTGAATGCATCTGACCTAGGTCTTCTGCATGTACGTTATATTTGTGTAGCTTGGTGTTCTTGTGGGTCTCCTAACAGTGGGAGTGGAGCTATCTCCTACTCTCTTGTCTTCTCTTGGGATCCTTTTCCTCCTACTGAGTTGCCTTGTCCAGGCTTGATATGACAATTTCTGCCTACTCTTATTGTAACTTGTTGTGCCATGTTTGGTTGACAACCCTGAGAGGCCTGCACTTTTCTGAGGGGAGAAAGAGGAGTGGATCTGGGGGAGAGGGGAGAAAGAAAGAAAGAAAGAAAGAAAGAAAGAAAGAAAGAAAGAAGGGAGGGAGGGAGGGAGGGAGG